GATGCTGTTAAAGTGCTGCACTCAATATGCCAGCAAGTTTGGAAAACACAACAGTGGCCATTTTATTTCGTATCTTTCTGTAGAGGTTGTAAGTTGCCCATAGCCTGTTGGAATGGGCAGCCATAATAAATTTAAAATAATAATCAGAATTAGTTTGCCTATTAGATATTCTCATAGCTTTGACTTGTTATTATTTTGGTTATTAGTACCAACCATGGCAGTTTTCAGCTATACCCTGGCTGGTTTTGTATGTTTTCCCCCTCTTCATCATGTGACTTTTGAAAAACTTTTGATGTTCTGTGGTTCTAGTCTGGTCTTTGGCCATAATAAAGTTGAAGTTTCAAATGTCATTCACATATCGCAATAGTGGTCTTAAACTCAGTGTACCCAGGCATATGACATTAAAGAAGCAGGAAATAGACCAAAACAGCTTTGATGTGGTGACACTTGAACTGTAGGAACAGTAGTGCTGATGCTGGGAAAAAGTTAGCCGATCTGTCTGTCTGAACTACTGACTCTGCGCTTCAGTGGTTAAGTCTTCCAAGACAGTTTACTACCAATATTAAAAGACACACATTTTGAGTTTATATGGTATAAAGGAAATTTATAGCCCACCAGCTAGGGAATTCAATACGATTCATAAAACATACAAATAATAAACATAGAATGATTCAAAACTATAAAAATTCCAATTAAAAGAGTCAAGAAAATGTGGCTCCCAAGTCTTAAAGACTAATATTGTTAAAAATTTTATTTCCAAGATAAATCCACCGGAGAGGTCAAGAGCAGCTAAGAAGAAGGTTCAAAGCTCAGAGAAAATTTCTTCCCAGTGTGCTGCTCTGAGCAAAGATAGGATTTTGACTAGGAAGTGCAGCAAGGATACATTATTTATTACATATTTTAAAGCCATTTCTGTTTGTCTTGCCTGTACTCGAAAGCTTAGCAACAAAAAATGGGGTCTCCCATGCTTTTTCTATTTTGACAATGTCTTTTTTTTTTCTTCACTACTCCAAATGATCTAAATTGTGAGTTAACAGCCATTATTCTATTCTGTGGAATTTTTTGAAAAGTTCCAACCCAGAAATTATTATAAAAATTACTGCCTAATAGTCTTAACATTCACCATCCAGCACTGAAAAAAATGTTTGTATGTGGGTGCCTAAAAGGAAAGTGCAAAAGGCTGTCTGTCTGTCAGCCGTCTTGTTATGAAAATATGGGATTTGTTCTTGAACTTCACTTGGCAATATTTGACATGTTGAAAACACTGGCTGCTTTATCCCAGCAGGCTTGATGAAAAGAGTTCTCCACATAAGAATAACTATTTGTAAGAATATTTATAAGTTGTTAGAAAAGTTACAGCACAAACTGTTATTGCCCGGAGACTTTGACATTCTTTCTTCTGTGAGATGTGCTTAGCCTTCCTTTTTGCTTGGGGTTGGTTAGCAAAGAGATGGAGGTAGAGTCAGAGATTCTGTTGCAAACTGATCAGGCTGACTAACATAGCTATATCTAAATCTGAATTGCCATCAGCCCTGCAAGGTAGACCAGACTAGGAAACCAAAGCCATGAATACTAAAGCTACTTTTATTATAGGCTTACAGTAACAGACTCCTGCAATTCTGAATGTGCCTACCCCATCCCTGCCTTTATTTTTAAGAAAATAGGGAGGGTCAAGTCTGAGACGTTTTCTCAAATCACATTTCTGCTTTGGAGACAAATTTCCTTTATCTGACTTCCTGTTCCTCAAGGTTGTTCCTTCTTCCCATTACAACTGTCATGATGTATATGGATAATAAGGGAGCCACTTCCCACTAAGGGCAGGACGGCAACCATATTGTGGACATCTAAAGGTATGTAATTTGGGGTAAAAGAGCCTCTAGAATCAGTTCTTCCCCAGAATTACCCCTTGATAACATAGCCATCCACATGACATCCCAAGAATATTCAAAGATCCTTAATGGTCACTATGAAGTAATATCTGATAACTTCAAAAGTGGACTGTAGCTTGTGAAAACTTGTGCCATAATAAATTTGCTAGTCTTTAACAGGATAGTCACCACTATACTATAGATTTAATTTTAATGGAACCTGTTAAATTTGTGGAGAACCAAATGAACAGAAAGACTTTTCCCTTGGAATATCTAGGTCACAGTCTGAAGCATATTTCTGGAGCAGCAAATCTAATTCAAGTCAGTGCAACTTACTTTGGTGCAAACATGGTTATGATTGTATTGCTATTGAGCCAACCATATTTCATTCTTATGCTTTTGGAGTGCTACCTGATAATGGACTGAAATATATTCCTGAAATAATATTGTCTACTAGTGAAATAGTAGTCAGTATGGCAGACAGTGAGGCAGGAGTTGGGAGAGAGCGAGCGACAGAAATATTTATTTTTTCAGGAGAAATTAAAGTTTGCCTAACTTTCCATTGAAGCGTTTTCCCCCTGTGTGTATTGGCAGTGAAAAAAGATAGAAAACTTTTGTTAAAAAAAAAATAAAGATTAGGTTTATATTCAGGCTGCAGTTCTTAAGCATACTAACCAAGAAGTAAGCAATATTGATTACAGGGATACCTAATTCTGAGTAAACATGATTGGGATATTATGCTCAGAGTTATATCCTGGTTGCTGTTTAACATGAAGAAAGTATTGGTTAAAAAGAAAACAAGGCTTTCCATTTTCCGGTCACCCAAACTCTGACCGGCAATACCAAGTTCACTTCTTCAGGAATCAATATGTAGGACATCCACTTCCTATGTTGACTCATGTTCCAGGTTGCTATTTTAGATTTTAGAGCAATTTTGTTGAGGACCGTTTATAAAACATCACACAGTAAAAGCAAAACAAAGTGATATCGATGAGAACAACATGAGAATCGCTTAAGAAATGGCAGTATTTTTTAATGCTGTGGATGGATGATGGACCACTGATCTCTTGTCATCCAATGTCTGTCTCATTTCTAAAGGAAATATTTGTGTCAGCTAGAACCAGGCTTAGCCTCTAAGGGTGGGATAGCAATTTACTGTCTTTCTGGAAAGAAAAACTAGGCTGTTTTGACTGATGTCTCAATTCTACAGTTTTGTTTTGTTTTTTTAATTCTCAAATAAAAAAAATACTCAATCCAACCCGTCACTTCTTTCTCAGCATTTTTGTTTTCTTTCATACTTTACTGTGATTGAAAGTATTCCCTACCTTTTCATGATACTCTCGATTTGTGCCAAAAGTTGCTATATATTTAATTGAAACTGCTACCTTGATTGAAAACAGGGAGATTGCAGTGATTCATCCCATTAACATATATTATCCTTTCCCATCTTTGTTTCTTCTGGATGTGTTGGGATTACTGTTCCTAGAATTCCCAGTAAATCAGAATGTTGGTCATAGTGGTTGGGAAATCTGGAAGTTGTAGTCTCAGCATACCTGGAATGTACCAGTTTGGAGACAGCTAGCATGTCTGTTCAACATTACCCCCGAGAAAAGATTTACAGCAACACCACGTTAGGTCATGAAGAAAGTGGAAAGTTTCATCAGTAATAGTGCTGTTCATCAGTAATAAAAGTGCTGTTCATCAGTAATAAATTTTCACCTACCATTTTCCATCTAATCAGGTACAGTAATTTGTTCCAGTGTAAATGACCCTGCAATTACAGGAAAGCACTACAGTGCCGCATAACCCTTATCCTACACACTTTTATTAAGAGTCATACAATCATGGAGTTGGAAGTAATTTTAGAAGTCAACTTGGTCCACCTTCCTGGTCAGTGCAAGATCCACTGGAGCATCTCTGACAGATGACCATTCAGCTTCTGTTTGAAGTCCTCAGTGAAGGAGAACTCACCACCTCATG